TTAACAATCCAGACTCTCAATACCAAGCCCAAACTTATCAAGTGTTTTCTTCTGCTGCAGCCATCTGGGGAGCTTTAGGGCCAGCAAGACAGTTTGGGCCTGGATCTGCTTACTTTTCTCTTAACCTTGGGTATGTGGCAGGTTTCTTGGCTCCATTCATTCCGTGGATCATGAAGAAAATCCATCCATCCAGTATGTGGGACTATGTTAATATGTATATCGTTGTCGCTTCCATGGCGCCAGGTACTGGTACCATCAACTCTGGTTTCATCAATATTATCTTTGTACAGATCTTTGTTCAATGGTACTTGTTTAAATACCAAAGAGAGTTCTGGGACAAGTATGTATTCTCTATCCAAAATGCAATGGATTGTGCCGCTCCTTTAGTCTCAGTGCTGGGAACTTTATTGAACACATTTGTAATTGATCCTACTGCTGCTCAACAAGGCTTGTTCTCACCATCCGGCCAATATGATTTCTACTGCTATGGAAAAACTTGGAATGGCAAAGCATCTAATTTCTAATAAACCTTGGAATTACTCTTGATTAGATTACTGGTAATAAGACAAACTAGCACGGTAAAAAGAAGTTTATTAAAACAGTTAATCCATATCTACAATTAATATCAATTACCTATATCCTTCTTTTCAATAGCTTCCAAAATGTCCTTTTTTTTGTGCTTCAAAAGCTTCTTTACCTTCTTTTTATTTATCCTTGTAGGACGGATATACATACCATGCTTACCCATTCGACCAGGTCTGACTCCAGATACGAGCTTGATTTTATTCGTATTGAATGGCTGATCGGATATCAAATCTTGTTTCTTGATTGATGCTGAAACTACATTGTCTATTATTGGAGTGATTTGGTCGTTTGTTTTTTTTAGCAGCGAGAGTGAGTCTGTCCCTGATTTCTTCTTTAGGCGCTGGATTTCTTGTCGTTTTTCTTTGAACAGGTTGCGCTTTCTGCCATTGACGTTGTTTTCTCCTTGCCCAACCATTTTAGTAAAGCTTTTTTTCTTTTTTTTTGTTGTTTGACTTTTGGTCACGTGGTTTATTAGAATGATGGTTACATTCATTGGATAGAATTGCGGGTGTTCTCAAGCAGGATGTATGTGAAAGATGGCGCAAAGAGAGACAAAGTTCCGCCAAGAGAACTACCAAACCGCAAATGATCAATAGGGTTATATTATTCGCTTCTTTTCAAAGAATTGACGGAGATAAGTGACTTGGAACCCAACAACACCCAATAAAATCATTAGTTGGAAAAATGTCCACCAAAATACACGTGAATAAGTAGATTCGGCAGTAGCTTTATGCCTCTTGATTCTACGATTCAAAAAGTCCAATTCATCCTTCATAAACCTGCATCAACATCAAATCACCTCATTTGATTAGATAAATCCTGAATGTTCTTTCCCAATTCTTTTTCATCCTCGCTCAAATCTTTGCCAATTTCAATTTTCGATTGATCGTCAGGTCCAAGGAAGGAAAACTGTACAATTTTGTCGTAGCCTGATTTGTTGTCAAAGCATTGATGATGCTCGCCGTTTGATGCCGCATCGAATCCAAACGAAGAAGCTCTTTCCGACTGTACTTTATGGATGGTTGCACCGCCTACATTAACTACTAGTACCTGGTGTTTTAATTTCATAATCTACAGCCCAGTCTCCAATCGTTTGAATAACTTCAAAAGACACTTCAAGCCTATCTGATATTAATACCGAGTACCATCCTTTTTCAAGTCTTCAAAGAAGCATTCTTTTGTATATGGTTTGATATTTAGTGTAAATGAAGAGCAAAGTGCTGTTCCTAAAAGCAAGAACTTGAACATGAGATTGCTTTTTTGTTGGAAAAAACATGACAATAAGACAAACATTTAAATTAAGCCGCAGTATTATTAGTCGGACCGCAATCATATCCAGATACTCTACAAAAACAAAGGAAGAGTGGAAGCAGATATTGGGTGAGCTAGAGTATAAAGTAATGATTGAAGGCAAGACCGAAGGTGCATTCACCGGAAAATATCTGAAATTAAACCGCATAGGTATTTAGAACTTGATCTGTAGGTATACACAATTCTAAGCTAGGTATTCTTCACTAACAAAAGGGAACTATCACTGCAAAGGATGCGACACTCCACTATTTTCTTACAAGCACAAGATTGATACGCTATCGGGATGGCCAACGTTTAATGATTGCTTTGAAAACACAATAGAAACAAAGCGAGACTATTCGATGCCGCTAATGCCAAGGGACGAACTGATTTGCTCAAACTGCAAAATACATTTGGGACATTTATTCATGGAAAAGAATGATAATAGGTACTTGATGCTAATATTAGGTTATTTCTGTCCTGACTATAGGTATTTGTGTCCTGATTTAGGTTTTCTGTCAACTCGATCTCATTGAAATTTGTCGCAGAATAAATATATATTAATAAACTTTTTGATGTGCATAAAATTCGAGTCAAGATCACACACTCACTGCTATCACATATCCCCAAACACAATTCCGTATAGGAAGGGTATCTGATTATAACTCTTTGGATTCTGCCCGTTACAAGGTGGAGGAAGGAAAGACACGGTAACCAAGCATATCAGGAGCAACAATAATAGATCTAGAGTCCTAGATTGAGCCTGTTGATTATGTGTTGATCTGCAAAAACACGCTGAAAAAAGTAACACGAAAATGAATACAGCACTAGAAAAGTTGGACTTTACAATCTCTTCCTGGTCCTCGCACTCTGCCTCGTACCACCCAAAGAACATTACTGTAGCAAAACCTCAAGATCAGTCATCACGCTGGTCGTCAGGATCAAACAATCAACTACAATTCATCACAGTCAAACTTGAAAAAATCAGTATCGTCAAAACCATTACATTTGGCAAGTACCATAAAGTACACGTCTGCAACCTGAAGGAATTTAAAGTGTTTGGCGGGCTAGATGAAAGTACGGTTTTGCTAATCAAGGCAATATGAATGAACTATTACACGCTGGATTGCATAACGACTCTGAACAAGAAACTTTTGCTCTTAAACATATTTTTAACGGTGTAAATGTCCCTTGTCTGTATATCAAAGTTGTACCTTTGCTTGCTTGGGGAGCAAACTTTAATTTCTCGATTTGGTATGTTGAACTTCGCGGCTACGATCAACCGGATGTAGTTGAAAAGGCATACAAGGAATATACAAACTATAAAGAAACTGAAGTAGTCAGATTATGCTTGAAACACTTTCGCCAGCGTAATTACATTGACTGTTTCAATTCTGTACAAAATCAAACTGGGCTACAGCTAGAACATCCTGTACTTACAGAGTTGCATCATAGACTAGTAGTCGAAGGCGACTTTGAAAATGCAGAGTTATTATTGAATCAAGCTATCGAACGCGACCTGTTTGATAATTACATTTCTGATTTACCGTACAAACCGAAATGGAGTAGAGTCAATGTACCGCTTGGCATGCCTACTCCAAGTATGAGAGGTGGCCATCAAATGTGTATCGACAGCGAAGCAAACTTGATTTATTTGTTTGGTGGTTGGGATGGCACAAAAGATTTATCAGATTTCTGGCAGTTCAACCAAACCGATCGTATTTGGACATGCATTTCAATGGACACTCGCAAGCAAAATGGACCCGAACCAAGGTACTTTTCACTAACAAGATCGTGTCATAAAATATGTTTAGATCCGTACCACAAAGTAATTTACGCCTTGGGTAAATATGTTGATTCAGAAAGTAGACCTGGACATGCACTAGAATCAGATTTCTGGAAGTATGATATCATCCAACAAAAATGGACCAAACTATCGAGCAATACAGGGGCGGAAGGAGGGCCTGAATTGATATATGATCACCAAATGGTTGTTGATTCTGATAAGAGCGTCATCTATGTATTTGGCGGCAGAACGGTCAGACAAGAAAGTTCTCAAAATTACTCTGGTCTGTATACTTACAATATCCCTGCAAACAAGTGGAAATTGGTACGAGATGACCTACCATCTACTTCTCCTACCATTCAAATTAAATCCAGAATCGGGCACTCAATGTTGTTTAACCCGTCAACTCGAGAAATCTATATTTTCGCTGGACAAAGGCACAAGGACTTTTTAGCAGACTTTTACGTTTACAATATTGATAACGACACTGTTACAGAAATATCCAGGGACTATTCAAAGACTGGAGGTAGCTTTACGTTAAACTAGGTCCGGACGCAGGGTTTACCCAGCGAGCAACTATCGACCCATACAAAAACGAATTCTATGTGTTATCAGGAATGATGAGAGAAAAGAATAGCTTGAACGATACAAAGAATGCTTTCTGGGTGTACAATTTGCAGAAAGGCAAGTGGTTAAAGATATACGAAAATGACAATATTGGATCTGATTATTGGATGAAAATGGCAAACATTGAGCCACGCCCTAGATTTGCACACCAGCTAGTCTACAATGAAAGGACCAAAGTACAATACCTGTTTGGTGGCAATCCAGGTGAAACAAATAACCCAAATTTGCGTCTTGATGATATGTGGGAGCTTACTCTACAACGTCCATCGAGCCAAGATATCTTGCGCAGAGCCAAATTCCAGATCCGTAAACTGTGGTTCATTGAAAAATGCTTGCAAGGCGATATCCAACAAGCACTGCAGTTTTTACAAACTAAAGTGTCGCAGTACGTTAATCATTTGGATCCCGAAGAATCTAAGCAGTTCCAGATGTTGGCGATGAATTTGTTTAGCTGGAATGCAAACAAGAGTGAAGGTAATTATTTGCTTATTGAGATTTGTTTGGCGGTAGAATCGGATTGTATCAGAATTTATTGAGGTATTTCCCAGATACCATGCGCGAGCCACATGCCAATTTGGTTGATCTTGTTCCACTGGTTTAACATCTAATAACTTATTATATTAATTTTGATTTCTGCTGCCGTTTTGAATCGAGTCGCTTGAATCTTGATGTAAATGAAAAGGTGTTGTGATTAAATTGGCAAATTTCTTGAGCCCGTATAGCTCAGTGGTAGAGCGTCAGTCTTGTAAACTGAAGGCCCTGTGTTCAATCCACAGTTCGGGCACACTTTTTCCTACACGAAAATCCAAGACAAATGTTTTTAAACTGTTTTTATTCAAAAGTAATGTTCTGGCAGATACGCTCAGCAATTTTTCCGTTTGCTTCTTCCCAATCTTTAAGCAGCTGTGAATCAATTAATTTAGCGCGGACCAGCGTATCAACGCAGAGCTGTATGGAAGCTCGTTTCACAAAACGTGGATCTAGAGTAAATTTTACAGTTTTGAACCAAGTCTTTACATCTGCAGCATCTGGGTAATGGAACACATCTTTACGCTCCAAAAGCAATGGCAATCCTTTAGGTTCAAAGTTGTTGACAAATTCTGCGATTGAATCTTTTAAATAAGATTGAAAATCTGGAATATTGAATTTTGGGTTGGATTGAGTGGCGAGCATGAAAGCTGGCCATGGCGAGTCAAATGTATCGAGCATTGATAGCTGATTCTTGTCGTAATACGGCTACTATTAAATACATATACTTTAGTAGTAATAACTTCCCACATGAACGCATCCGCAGTACCATCAGTAACTCCATTAATTAATCCATTGATATCATTCAAAACGACAAATTCAAATTCTGGCCATCCATTTTGCATTGCTAGTACAACTGCCATTATATGCGACCCACTGCCAATTCGACTAATCCCAATCTTTCCGCCTTTCAAATCTTGTAATTTTGTAATTTTACTACTTGGTGCTACTGCTATTGACCAGCATAAAGAAGAGTTTGTATACGAACCAGCCAGTTTGATTGATGTGGAATTTGATTCTAATAATTGAGTACATGTTTCTTGTTAGTGATAATTACTATACACTAGCCCTTCAGTAAGTGCGATAACAGCGTCCGTTTGGTTACCTTCCAAGAATTTAATCATCTGGATTAGTAAACAGTACTTGGCCAGTTCCACCAGGACAAGACTTTATCTTAATTGTTGGCGAAGGGGATAGATACAGAGGTCCGCTGAAATGCTCTGGAACGCATCCAACGGTAATTGAATTTGGCTGGGAATCATGCCCGTTAATTTTTGTTTGAGCAGTTGGAGCCATTTTATTGAAAAATCTTACTCTGGAGATTAGGGCATGGAGGTGGATGCGGCCGGCCATGGCGATTAAACCAAATGGAAAAAGAATATTCGAAAGCTGCAATGAAAACTGGTAGTGCCATTAAATTATTTACAGGCTTTATTTACAAGCTGGGATATATATGGATACTGATCATATAGTCATGCGATAGGCAGGTATCCCGATTTACACTGTCCTGTTTGTACATTTACATTAAACTTGCAGTTTGAGCAAATTTGGGTTGTAACTTTACCAAATATTTTGAAGCAGCGGAATTTGTTTCGAACAGGCACGAAAGTTCTTGCGCAGTGTGGGCAGTTGATTCTAGTCATTTTGATTATTATCGTCACATACAGTTGTGGTTGTATTCTGCAGTCCTGTTATTTTATACCTGTGTGAGGGTGTGCTCATGACTGCGATGAATCATAGGGGGCTTGCAGTAATAAGGGTACAATAAAACAAAAAATTGGTGTCATGAGTTTGATTTATTATCTGGTTCTGAACAGAAATGCAGTGTATTACAAGCAAATTCAATTTACTTGCGCAGATCCTACAGCAGTAGTATTATTGGATTTCATTTGCGAAGTATTTGTAAACGCAGATGTTTGGGCAATAATTTGTCTTAACCGTTCAATCAAAACGATATTCAATACACCGTGGATTGCCAAACAACACGATAATACGCCAATAAATGCAACCCATGTACGGTCACTGCCAAGCGATTCTGAATGATCGCGCAGCTGATCAAAAGTAATATACAATGCGATTATCAACAGCTGGAACACCAGAGTCATAAAGAACATGACATCAGATGTGATTACCAAAAAGATTTGCTCCGAAACTGATTTTGAACGGATCTTGTTGATTGCAAATGATACATAAATAGGTGGAATGCAATCCATAATAAACATGGCAATCAGCCAATAAGGGAACAGATTACCCCAAGATACAATTGCATTAGGCAGAGATGTTCCCCATCTACAGTAGAACCCGCCTGCGAGGACACCATGGCAAATAATAACCACGAAATATACAATAATGCTGGTTGATCGATTGCAGTGAAGGAAATACAATAAAAATGAGGTGGAAGTCAGAACAGCAGTCAATGAGGCAATGCCTTCCAGAGTATTCAGTGTTCCGCTGAGTATACTCGTAAATACGGAAAAAGTGGCAGCTAAGCGAACAGATAACCAAGCAAGCCAAATAATTTGACTGGCAAGCAACCCCATTAAATATAATGTCCGTTTCCTGTTGAACTCGTTCCCTAAATACACAATTGTTGATATAATACACGCAAAAGATATTGCATACAGGACCATATTGAAAACGTCAATTGCATATGAGAAATCAGGGAATAGTTGGGATAATGGCACGAATACCGTCCAGGATATTATGCCTTGGCCATCCTGAATATTTACAAAAGTAGCGGTAAAGTTTTTCAATACAGTTGAATTAAATGTTTGATTTGCACCTGTCAACCCAAATTGCTCCACTTTCCCCGTACAATTTGGCTGAGAGTAGACTTTCAAGCTGCCATCAGGAGAACAAGTGATGCCTTCATTTGAGCAAACGTCATTGGCTAAATAATATACTTGGCTGAATCCATAAATTTGTTTGTTTGATTGCAGAGTGCAGAAATTGTTTTGATTGACAGAGATTAGCATTTGGGCAGTTACATTATCCGGTGTGACTATTAGTGTTGATGCTGAACCTACATTGGTTGCAGGATGCAAGAATGTAGCACAGCAATCTCCTGACAATGGCACTTTGACAGTCCCCCTACATTTTCCGCCAACTGCTCTTTCCTTTGCTTGCATTTGATATCCAATCGGCCAAGTTTCATTCTTGCTTGGATTCTTGCTATTTACTGACTGGATATTGTACAAATAAATTGAATTTGGCACACTGTTGCAGTCCCGTTCCTGGAATTGTATTGTCAGTGCTAAACTAGCAGAGACACCAGAAATAGTCGCAATAGAGAATATTTTCATTGAAATCCAGGGAATTGAGTAAAAAAAGTTGAAGCCGTTTCAATCGTGAACCAATCGCCACAATATTTGATTAGTGAAAATCAGAAACTGGCAAAGACTAGAGGAGGCTAACCGGTGGAATACTGTTCTAGTAGCGAATGCATTATAATTTTGTTGACTAAATAAATTGCTCAGTTCCAAAGAAACTAGTTATTGGCCCAATTGTGGCTTTTATATGCGATAATATTGAACCCCTTTTTGTAGCTGACAGCTGCAGCCCATTGAATGGAATCGTTCAATTTCAACTCGTTCAAGTTATTCGAATTGCTGCAGAAATTGCCAATTTTAATAATATTTGGTTTAGTTAACTTGCCTACGATATATTCTCGTGCAAAGTCACCTATTCTTAATGCCTATACGGTATATTCTCGGATCATTGTGCAAGTACGAGAGATTTCTACTTGAAGATTATGCGGAAAATGATAGCCATACGGAAAAATATTTAAAAACATGCTTTTTCAGATTTCCTCCAATGCCAAAGACAATCCTTGTAATTGGAGCTACCGGAGCAACAGGAAAGCACTTTATGGCCCACTCGCTTGAAAAGGGATTTATTACCAGAGCAATTGTACGTGATCCATCCAAAATTCCCAAAGAACACCAAACAAACGCCAATTTCCAAGTAGTAAAAGGAAGTTTTACCGATGCAAAAGCATTAGAAGAAGCGCTTCACGATGGTAAAGTCGATTATATCGTTGTAATGGCTGGCGATCCAAAACAAAAAACTCCATTCATGGAACCATTCATAAAGAGCCTCGTTCCACTGATGAAAAAATACAATACAAAGAGAATCCTGTATCAAGCAGGAGCATTTAGCTGTAAACCAGGCGAAACCATTTCTTTTGTTGGTTCAATATTATTAAACACCGTTGCACTCGGAATCGGAATCAAGGATCAAATACTGGATAACGATAAAGTTATAGAGTATTTGGCAAGTGAAAAGGATATTGAATGGATCGTTGTCAGGGCAGGTATGATTGTTGAAAAGCCATCGAAAGGAAAAATCGTGTTGAATGCAAGCTGGCCGGCACAAACTGGAGTCTCATTCACAGATCTGGCTCTGTTTAACCTTGAAGCTGTTCAAGATGAAAAGTTGCTTTATACTTGTGATTTCCCAAATTATAGCTGAATAAATT